GAATGCTACATTGTACCCTACCCGCAAATACTGCAGCACTACATTTGCACTGTTATAAAAATTCAGAGATAGTAAAAATATGTAAATATTTAGTTTTTTCTTTTCACTGTTCCCGAATTGTTGTCCTTTTTGTTACTGTGCATGTCTAGGCGTACAGTGAGCACCCACGAGGCAGACTCCAGCATAAACCCAGGAACGATGGTTGGGTTATTAGGTTATCTGGAAAGCCCTGACAAGAATTAATGAGGTGAAATGAGCTCCACATTAGGAGTGGCCAACATAGGAACTTCCATGCCTACAATTGCTGGTGCAGAAAAGCCAGAAACAGTGCATTCAAGGACAGCAGCACATTTCAAACACCTCAAAATTGTTTTCAGGAACAGAGACCTGTAATAATTGTTCCAGGTAAGTGTTCATCACTGAGCCTTCCTCAGTGGAGACTTATCAAGGAGAGGAAGAGGAAGAAAGAATCCTAATGCTGCATTTTACTGTCATCCCCATAAAGACTGTTCAGACACACCTGGGACCCCAAATCAGTTCAAATCAGTTGTCTCATAAGTATATTCTAACATGCTTATGAGATAATCAAACAATTAATTATTTGGTCTTCAAAATAAAATTTTAACAGCATAGTAAAATAAGGCGTGATGGCTACAAAGGACAGACAAAAAAAATGGAAAGAGAATTTTGTGTAACTGAGCAGAGGATTTCTACTTTTTTTAAGAGGGTATCCATGAACAACTACTACTGGCTCAGCCACTTTGGACTTTGAAGTCTATCTTTTTTAATACAGCAGTATTTTTGTCCTGTAATTAAATACAAAAAAAATCAGCTAAAACTTAGTGAGACAGAGCTGGATCACCAGAAGTGAGGTATGTCCAGCAGACTGAAAACAAAATGACCTGGTACTCAACATTGAAAACAGGTTCTAGATGGCACCAGGCAGTTCTAATTCGGACTCTGCCAGATACAGGTAACATTGATAGACTCTCTTCTTCTAGTGCCTCATTTTCCCTGTCTGCACAATAGAAGTGAAACATTATGGACTAATTCATGGCCTAATCTCCAGACACAGGCAAGGACAGACACTTCGAATTGCAGGGTGAAGCACAAGGACTATAAAGTGCTATTGGAGAGTTATGTGACATTCAATGAGACACATCTGTGCAGAAATATTTTTCAAATATGTTCAGAGTCCCCAAACTCTTGCAGTCTGAACACTTAAATCCATAAAATTTACTGTACTGCTGCTGTCCAAAACCAGAACTTCATTACTACTGTGACCTTCTCACATGTTTTATTTAAGTCTTCTAAAATTCACTCTATTTAAGTCTTCTAAAATTCACTCTGAGTAGCAGTTCTGATATTAAAATCAAACAAGAGAATGAAGCCAGAGAGCAACAAACATTCTCTTTTCTCAAGGACCCAGCTGCTGAGTTTAAACCCGTCTCCAGCTGCAGCCAGTTAGGCTGTTATCTGGATGGTGGGTAGACAACCTTAGTGTCATTCTGGTCACCACACAAAGTTTGTTTAGATAAACTCAGAAGTTTATTTGCAGGACAAACAGGATATGACGAGAGTCCACTAACCCCAGCCATCCACTTGTTCTGTTTGCTCAGCTATTGTTTCTGAAACACAGAAGAGGTTACTAACTGCCCCTCAAGTATCCCGATTCCATTTTTTGAAGAGTCACTCTAATTCTGGGGGATGTTTTGTCCTGCTATGAAACCCTTCCTTGTGCTAGTGCTTTGCTCTAGTTTCTTTTCTAGCAGAGCTACCCCTCTTCCATTTGAGTTTTCCGACTGCAATGACCCTGATGTCTTTCAAGCTGTCGACACAGCACTGAAGAAATACAACGGAGACAGGACCACTGGTAATCAGTTTGCTCTACACGTAGTGATGGAAGCCAAAAAAACAGTAAGTAGACTTTGGAAAAACACATTTGTGGAATTGTTTGGGCTCTCTGGGTCCAGTTCTCTCCATGTCTTTCATAACAGAGGGTAAAGATGACAGCAAAGTGTCTTACAAATATTCTTTTTAAAAATCACAAAAATGGCTTGCACTGTAAGATACTTTTCACCAGGACTAGCAGGGCTGTTATTCTGTGCTTGTCTGTGGAATTGGGTGTGATGGCAAATTGCTTATAAGTGCAAAACTTAAGAATAAAATGTTTTGATCACTAATTCAGTATGTCCTACTAGCACATACAGTTTTTTCCTTTATCTTTGCAAATTCTAACTTTTCCCATCATCAATAAAGTTTCCAGATCAATGGCAAAAACACTTTAAAAAAAAAAATCATTCATATTAGCCTGACTTGGGAAGAGCTGGTATCACACATAAAAAAAAGAATGCCTGGATAATATTTGGAAATACTGTGAATAAATTGTTTGCGAATATTATTTGATTGACAATAGTACTGAGTCACAAATCTACCTAAAAGCACCAGGTAGGATCTTAGTCAAATAGGGAGACAACTAAAATTATAGTAAAGAAAAGAACAGAAAAGAATGAAACATGATCCTTTGCCTGGAATCCTTTTATATACCACTAATCTTAAAAAAAAAAAGTGGATGGATGGATGGATGGATAGATAGAGAGATACAAAGAAAAAAATATATGTATTTATGTGTGTATATGTAGATAGACAGATATATTCCTCTGAGAGGTATACAAAGATGATACCACCATAATAACGACAAGCATTACTTTTCTTGAAAACAACATTAGCATTTTTTCTACCGGATTGAATTTTCAGACACAAAACAAAAGAAACCCAGTGACAGATAATATTTTGGGTGCCAAAATCAGGGCACACTTTTACCCAGACAGAAACTGAGCTCAGAACGGGGACATGAATTACCCAACATCTTACGATAAATGCCCCCACCTTTTGGTAGCTATCCTCCTGCTTTTTGATTTTAGCATGTAGTGAGCAGGCTAAAATCTGTCAAACCCTTTATATAATTAATATTAACCAAATGACTGGTCCCATTGTCTTCATTGAGCTACACGTGTCCTTAACAAAAACCAGATGCAAACACCTTTACAACAGATTATAAAGACTATAACACCACTTTCATTTTTGCTGGTGACCCCTAAGGAAAATTATTATCAGTATTTCATTTTAAATAAAGTCCTATTTTTTGAATGCATATTTATTGTCATTACTATTCATCATCCTCTACATATATTGCCTTTCCTTAAAGATGGAAATCAATTACTTTGAATCACTGATCTATGATGGTAGGAAAAAAACAGGGAAAAGGGGTCTGCGAGAGAGACTTACTTGTATTCTGAATTCTTTCTTTTCTAAAAGGAATATAGATTTTACTCATCTCTAGTCTCACAATGTTGAATGCATTAATTAAATAGCTAGTTATTACATATTCATGTACATTCATTATTGATACGGTAATAAAACATAAAAGCTGACTGCTGAAAGACTGAACCTGCACCAGTTAAAGCCACAGTCGTTCATAGTAACAGCGAAATAAAACAACAACAAATAACATAACAGAAACAATGTCTCTTCTCAGGGTTTTCATGTACTCAGCGAACTGAGATGATTTATTTCAGGTTTAAAATAGTGTAACAGAACAGAATTTGTCTCTTTTTTCAGTCCGTATCTCAGATAGCGTAACCTGATAGTCATGCAGCCCCATAAAATGTCAATTTATACCAGCTGAGGATTATTTCCGTTATAGTTTTAGAGGTTCTTTCACCCTCTTTTACAACCCTCAGCCATTATTTCAGGCACCACCATTTTTTTTCATAGTTGTAGCCATACACAATAGGAAGGGAGAGAACACAGAAGAGAATTTTGCCTTCAACACCACCAATGTAAATCCAACATATTCTACCCGTGTCAGCTCAGCATCACTTGCTCATACTGGAGAAGGGTACAAACAAGGCAAAAATTTTGGTTATCCTCAAACAATACAGCTGAGAGGGATAACGTACAGTAGCTGCCTATGTGTGCGTTGCAAGAGGTACACGCTGCCAGGGCATTTCTAATGGCAGTAAAAGATTAAGAATATCTTTTTGCCAGTTTGCGTCTGACCCAGGGATGAGCCATAGGCAGCACTTACGTTGCTGTTGTCTGAAGGCACAGCTCATTACTGAGCCTCAGGAGAAAAGCCCCGCTATGAATATTGGAAAGGCCTGAACTTCCACTGGCCAGGACAGCCCACCTTGCACTTTTAGGCTTTGTAGTTCATCTCCTGGGGTTCCTGAGGCCGCCCTCACCACCAGCTTTGCCTTTAGCAGCTCCAGGAGAAGGGCAGGCACAGCCCAGGGCTGGCTCTATAGCACGTGCCCCATAGCACGTGCCCTGCAGGCAGGGCCGCTCGGCGCCCCGTGCACGAGGAGCGGGGCAGGTTGGGCACTGCGGGGTGCCTGGGGCTGCCAGGTAGGAACTGGGCACACCTGGGAGCAGGCTGGGAGCAGAGTGATCGAGTCCGACAGGGGCACAGGCCAAACCAGTAACCATGCAACTAGCCGAGCAGCAACCCATGTTTGCTCACTCGGAGCGCGTTCGAACGGGTGTACAGAAACCTGACCATTTTTTGCTGTTTTAAAAACCCCAGCTGCAGTACACTGAAATGTAAGCAGATGAGCAGACTGCATCTTCCCTATCAACGGGCTGCAGCTGTAGTTAAGGGCTCGATATTACAATCAGATAAGGTAACAGCTAAATTAGTGAGATTCGGGAGATATTCCATGGAGAACAGCAGCTAATCTGAAACCACACTATAAAAAATAAGGCAACCAATGTATTGAGGATAGAATTCGCCCTTTGAAACTCTCACCTCATCCATGATGTCCTGATTAATTACTATGCAATCACTATGTGTAATGTTTTTTATCCAGACAGATCCCGACACACAATTCCATGTGAAATATACAATACGAGAGAGCACTTGTGCCATTGAGGAAAACAAAGACTGGAAATACTGTGATTACAAAGTACCTGCAGAAGCTGTAAGTGTCTGTCCTCTTCTAAAATTCTCTGTACACAAACAGCAACGTAATCAGCATGACTGCAGTTTCCTGAGAAAAAACAGAGAAGAGGATTTAGCGCTCTGTGTGTGTTGCCTTTGAGAGCTTATAGGAGTAAAGTACAGTATGGAAATGTTTACAACCCTGAAGTTAATCATTATAATCCTAAAGATGCATGGGAGGGACCTTTTCCATACAGACATTTCAGAGCTTCATTGCACCTAGAAACAGTACAATTGGGGCATTCATAGCATTCAGGAAATGTTACACATCCCCAGTGGAAGTTGCTTTTATTTCATATTGCACACAATGCAAAGAAAAGGAGGTAATCATAGTATTTGAATCTATGTGAAATGTCACGGTCACTGCTTCCTGCCACACAGCAGCAGAGAGAAAATTACATAAATATGCAATTTTATTTATGAAAATGTTTTCGTTTCCCTTAATCTGGCTGTATGTTCTCTAGTTAATTAATATGCATCACCATGACACAAAGGAATCTTTCAAATTATCTGCTCTGTTCATCCCTGTCTCTTCTCACAATCAAAATACATTCCTTTCGCAATAACAAAACAGCAACTATGTGTCTACATATGAACTTACACACCAGATATGCTACTAATCTGAGTTTCTTCATCAGTCAAGTTTAAGACAAATGCTTTCATCTGTATTTTCAGGAAACCGGAGAATGCACAGCTCAAGTTCACATTAATAAGGCTGAAAACACAAGTAACGTTTCACAAGTTTGCAAAACTGTTCCAGGTATGTAACTTCTTAGGGCAGCATTCAAGGAATACATTGAAAAATAAGAATTGAAAAATCCTACTGAGACTTTCAGTTTTTTCTAAAGGTAGAAGCTTTTTGTCATTTGGTTCAGACTTTTTAAAGCATCTTCAATCAATGTGCAACTACACGTTAAGGATGAAATTTCACTCTCCACTGTTCTGCCAACTCAGTGAAGCACTGGCAGTTTCTGAGGGGAAGCCCCTATTACCTGGTACTGAAAACCCGCATCTGTACATAATAACCTTTTAAAAACACTAAAATTATACCCCATTAGAGTGAATTTGCTTAAGACCAAAAGCACAGCACTAGCCTAGAAACTAGATATCCCCTTGTTACACTTTAAATTTTCATGCTCAATTACTCAAGTATGAAATTGTGCCAGAAATATTTAGATGAAACTTTTAATGGCAAAATTGTATCTTAAATTTCCCAAAACTAAAAAAGGCTACCTTATTTTTGTTAAAGTTTACAACACAAATCTTCAACTGTCAAGTGAGAAAACTGAAGAAATTTTAATGACAAAACTAAAAATCCCGTAGTGATGTAATTATTTCAGACTTTTTAGGAAACTTATTGGACCTTAAAAACAGCCAGTACCAATTTTCTTACCTTTAAGATATTAATATATGATTACAATGTTCACATGGAACTTCCTTTATTAGAAACAAGTCATAGTTTGACAGCTCTGTAGCTGAATCTCTATGTACCTATGATGAGAGTTCAGGTGAGACATATCCAAGCTAGTTTTAAAATGACCATATAACTGTGGCAGCACGGAGCCAAGCGTGAGCCAACAACAGAAATATTTACCAAAATTTCTAAGAGGATTTGCAGCTTATCCTTGAGTTGTGGTACCAGTTGTCTTGCGTAAAGCTCTAACGGCTATACCTTACTAGGAACTGCAGCACACAGAGAGCATGTTCTGAACAGAAGCCGCTTGGTTTCAGAGGCATTTGTAAGGCAATGGTGACACCTAGTTGCCAGGAAAAGGTCTGTGAATTCCACAGAGTGCATTGGAAATCTGCTTTTGAATCTTTGTTTAGAAAGCTAAAGCAGCACATTTGAATTAAATGAAGCAAACATTCAATCTACAAAGATCATCTCTAATTAACAAATTATTGCAAAAAGCAATAAATGTTTGTTCAGTGCTTACAGAAAGGTTGAAACCACAGTCCTTTCAGAACTGGCTGTACTGATGTTTTAATATTGCTCCCTGAAAACAAGGTCATATTCTTCTGTTTTATATATATATATAATATCATCACAGAGTCAAAGGCAGGCAGCAATAGATGATGCTATAAATACAAAGGGTTAGATTCTGTTCACACATCCTACAAGAGCTAAGAGTAATAATATTCCTCACACTGAGTTACTTCAGTTGTACAAAGGAGCAGAGAGCAAAATCAAATGCAAAGGATTCAAGAGAAGAGTTAACTACAGATCTGATCTGCTGAGGGTCTTCCCCATATCATCCAAGCTCCTTGGTGGGACCGTTTGACCACACTGACCCTGGACTGGATTCATGGCTGGTGCAAGCCGGCACAATCCCCTAAAGGCAGTTTATGCCAGCTGAGGATCAGGCACACAAATTTTATTTCAATTCCACAGAGACCATATATTGTCTTACTTTGATTCTCAAGTTCACTGAATCATGAAATTAATTTATGTACAGAACTAGGAATGTAATTTATGAAAATCCAATCCATGATTACTAGAAAGGAAAGAGGGTTAAAAGGATTAGTAGTAGCAAGGAGAATTTTGAGCATCTCCTTCAAGCTTGCCTAACCACAGCATTCCAGTAGCCTAGGCCTGGAAGCTAACACTAAGTGGTCACTTTTTGGCAGCTGAAGTGACCAGCAAGAGCAGCTCTGACAACACAGTGGTGAAACATAGTGAGGTGAGACTGGCTCTTCCCAGACTGCATGAGGAAAAACCACTCCCAAAAACTGTCTGCAAGATTTTTCAGAGAGTCGGTGACTCCTGAACTTTGTGGGTGAACTTCGCTGCTGAAACCATTCTTGGACCCGAAGTTCAAAATGGCCCCTGTCAGTAACCAGAGAAGCATGTTGCTAAATACAATGAAAACCTTTGACGGCCCTGAAACCTGATTCTAGATTTTGCTCTGATGAAAAGCAGGAAAGATTCTTGCTCATTGAACCTTCTCCGTCCATCCCATGTATGAGAAATTAAAACTGACACAGCTTTACATGCAGTTTTTTGGTTTGTTTCTCTTCCAGCTGAGACAAAGGTAGAGCTCTCTGAGGCTGAGTGTCTTGGATGCTTTCGTCACATATCAAGTGACACTCTACAAGTGTCAGAAATTCTGAAGCAAGCCATTAACAAGTTTAACAAGCATGGTGATGAAACTGCCCTTTTTAAACTTGTTGAAATAAAAGAAGCAAAAAGACAGGTTTGTATGGGATTTTTATATACATTTTACAAAAGAGAAAGATGCTTTGGTTGTTTTACGTACATATTTCTGATTTTAAGGTCTGTTATATCTCACAATAAGATCATACAGTACACAGACCATCTAAGCAATTCTACTCAGTTCAGTGGACTCATAAATAGTTATTTACTGACTTTACTGAGGGAGCGCTCAGCTTTATGAACTGTCGCTGAGCACAGGCTGTCGCTGTCTGCAGCTGCAACCAGGCAGCGTTCGGCACCGGGCCCTTCGCACGCGGGGCTGACAGGGGCACTTGGTGCCACCTGAGACGTCCTAGAGGATTCCAGCAGGCCCCTACATGAAGCACCAACCACAGCAGGTCTGGGCTTGTCCCTAGACGCTGTGCCAAAACTGCCAACCTGTGCACGTGTCTCATACTCTAGTATACACAGAGCCATTTGAGGGGCTATGTTTATGCAATGGGACCTGCGCATCAGCATATACACCAATAGAAGCTGTATATCAGCAGCTGATAAACATTATAGAACATGTAAAATCATTAAAGAAAAATGGGTCAGATCAATAAAGAAAAATGACGCCAGCATGTCACTTCTGCATGTGGGAATATCCGTTTCATGCAAAACAAATGCTCAGATTACAGAAATCCTGTGCCCGTTGGTATTCCGTGCGAGAGCTCTTTCCCTGCACAAGGCTCTCTTATGGATTGCAGAGACATTGCTAGAAAGTAAAGTTTCTAATTTGAATTTTAAATACTATGTAACCTGAACACAAATACAGACCCTTGTCGATGAATATGGATGTGTTTACTTTGCCAAAAAAGAATCATCTGTTCCTATGTCAGTTTGACCCATGATTTAATTCAGATGAGTCTCCTTTTACTTACTGATGGTAATGGTCCTCTGACTGAGAGACAAGCACACACAACATTTAAGCCACGTGGCAAAATGTTACTGACAGATTGCACTCCAGCAGCTACGGAGAGGACCATCATGTCATTTCTGGCCAACTGAGAGTAGTCAAGAGCCCTCCACTGTACTCAGGCTGGAAAGTGCCTTATTTGATCCTTATTTCTGAATTTTGTTCAAATGCTGCCTGACCCAACTTGTGACATGGAGAGATTTCAGAGGTGAGAAACAGTAGCCACAGTGTTAAAAACTGGACTGCTTCCTGGAGAGAAAATAGCTAAGGTCAAAAGTCTGGACAAAACAGGGCGGGGGGAAAGCCCAAAGCAGACACAATTACAGGTAGATGATAAATGCAGGACACTCAGCAACAAATGATGCCAATGGTGTAAAGTTACATTATTCAGATTTTGTTTTACTATGTCACGCACTCTGGAACACAGAAATTGCCAAGCTCTATTAACATAGTCATCCATCTAGATCAGACTCCTGTCACAGAGAGTAATAAATAACAGACACTTTGGAGGAAAGTGCAGGAAACCACTTGGTGTGAGGCTACAGACTTGCCAAGAGAACCTGAATCTGAATAAAAACTGAATTTCCAATATCTGCATGGTTTAACATTCTTTCTGAAGTAAAACAACAGTATTTTCTTGCTGTCTTTGTGTGCTGCATGGCTCAATGACTGCAAGGTGATTTCATGTATGGAAGACACTTGCTTTCTCTGGTTATTGCATTTAATAGCTCAACTTCCACAAAAGTATTGGCTTATTTAATACATCTTCCAGGTGGTAGCTGGATGGAATTATGTAATTAAATATGAAATCAAGGAAACTAATTGCTCCAGAGACGAATTTCAAGATTTAAGTCCAGAGTGCAAAACCATTTCTACAGGGGTAAGTAATCTTCTAAACCTATTTATCAAGAAATATATACTAGCAAATAATTATTGAGATCTGACTCAGGAAAATATTTATACTTTTGCTTAACTTTGTCAATGAAGTTTAAATCCAAGCTTACAGATAACTTCTCTGTTTATGGACTTGACACATCCATGTCCTCCTGAATCAGTGACCAAGAAAACTGCTAAACTATTCGCAGCTTTCTCTAGAGTATCCAGTCTTAACCAAATAAGTAATCCATCTAGAAGGTTCTATCCAGAGAGCTATTCCAGCACAACCCAAAAAGTGGTAAGTAGAATAGCTCTACTTTTCCAGCATAAGACATATTTTCTAAGAAAGATAAGTAAGTAGCTGAACTTACCTCTACTGCAGTCCAAATAAGAAAGCTTCAAAAGGAATTATTAACAAATATACATACGCTAGCTAAAAAAGTGCTGCCGAAGCAGGCACTTCCTATGCTCTGAGCTGGAACAGAATTAAATGTATCGAAAGAGCGAGCTATTCTTTATCCAACCTCACCGAGCCAGCTCCCCATGGGGTTGGGTGAGAGCTCGTGGGGCAGAAACATGCAGCCAGAGCCAAGAGTGGTGGTAAATATGAGGGAAGGAACCACACACACGAGCCCTGACCCCCATCTGCTCTGGCTGCTGTGGAGCTGCGCTATTGAGTGCTACATTCAAGAGCCTCCTCTGTTCAAAAATTACTCCTTGGATGTCTCAGCAATGCTACGGCATTTCAGAAGCACTGATCAGAACAGCAAAAAATGAAAATACTGTAACAAATGACAGGAGACTCAGACTAGCTGAAGCAAATCTCTCCGTTACCCAGGCTTGCCTTTAGTTGTAAGCAAGTTACTTCATCTGCTCGGATCTCCATTCCCGCATCTGTCAGCTGGAGCCAACGACTCGTGCCCATCCCACACAACCCACAAGTGCTGCCTCACCGACACGTCTCGACCGCACGGGGCTGTGGGGTTAGCTCTCCATCTCCTGACGAGCTCAGCAGCCTCGCTAATCAATCATTCACAGTTATTATGAGAAATCTACAGGCTCAATCAGAACATGTCACATATGGAAATATTTCCCTATTACATCTGAAATTGTTGTTGTACGCTGCCAACTTTTCCAAAACATGCTCAAAAACACTGCAGAGAGGCCACTCAAACAACTGAGCCTGAAATGATGTTCTCTGTCCTCCTCAGAAAGGAAAACAAAATGAAAATTCATTGAAAACAACATAGTTCAAGTATTATGAGAGAAACTTCAGTCAGGGCTCACTGTCTATTTTTTGCATGAACCATAAAGATAAAAGTGGCCTTATTTGGTCAAACTCACTAACGTCCTTATAAGGTCATCCTTAATGACCTTATATCTTAACTCTTAACAGCGGTCACAGGCAGATGCATATCTAAATATGAGAAAAAAAGTATTCTTTATGGTGAGGATAACAGAGCACTGAAACAACTTACCCAGAGAGATTAAGGAGTCTCTTTCCTTGAAAATAATTAAAAGAAATCATTTTAAAAAGAATGGGATCAAATTTGCTTTCTCCCCAGAATTCTAATTTCTTTTTAGTATACCAAGGCAGTTCTAAGCAAGAAGTCACCTACCACGGTTTTCTTTAAATGAATAGCAGCAGGTCCAGAAACTCAGTACTGTTTATTTTGTTAGTTCCGTAACCCCTTTTTGTGGTCTTTGTAATATGAAACATAACCTCCAATGAGCTCTCTGTAAAATAAGATTCTGGCTTGGGAATCTCCCCTTTTCCTTCTGTAATGAACATATACAAATAATTCACTTAGCTTTTATGATTTTATTTTCTCTGAGTGTTCTTTCTATATCCTGACCATTTATTGGCACATTCATTGGACATGAATTCCTAGTAGGATGATTGACCTACTCTGTTAGCAGGAAGCTATTACGACACTTACATGTTCATTACTGTTCATTATTTCTAAATAATAATGTGCTGCTCTGTTTCTTTTTTTTTTTTTTTAATTCAAGCGTGTAGGTAACTGTGAGGCCAAAGCATATGAAAGTCCTCGGGCAGGGATCATAGATATTGCAAGTCAATGCAAGTTTCCAGGTATGTAACAGGCCCCATGCAACTTCTACAATTTTCAATGTTTTGTTACAATCATAAAAAATGTAAAGCAAAAATGCAAGATGGCAAAATATAACAACATGAAAGAAAATTATTTGGTGACAGAAAATGTACCCCTCTTCATGAACTACTATCAAAGATTTTTTTTACTTGCTACAAATATTTTTCAAACAAATAAAAGTACTCTTTTATCATGTATATACTACCCTATTTCTATGACACAGGGTTGGTAATGGGCTCTCATTTGGATATCAGCAGATACAAACTCAAAGAATATAACTGCCCTATAAAGACTATATCCTTTTCCACCACAATTTCCAGGCAGCTAATATCACGTTCTTTAAATAAACAGTTCCTTCTAGATTTTCCAAAGGATTCCAACATACTCTTTCAAAAGACATAGGAGCTGACTAGTTCAAGACTTTGTCCAAAGTTAGTAATTCATCTGTCATAGTGATGCTATCATTGCTTTCAATTCACATGGCATTACTATCCCCACCTACTAGTAGATACTAGTGGGATCTACTTTTCTGAGAAGACTATTGCTCAGGGTCTTGTGTGACGCTAGGTGCTGATGCAGTGCTCTTTTATACAGTCAAAATTAGGTATCATTGATCGCACAAAAATATTTTGATTTAATCTGATAGACTCGAGCACTAAGTGTTCCAGAAGTGAAGATCTAAAAGTAACTGCTTTTCGCAGTCTACCTGTACTGAATCTTTTGCTCCCTGCATCTAAAATCCATTTGTTTCTTTCAGCTGACGAAACAGTAAATGCCCCCACTCTCATTTGTGCTGGTTGTCCAAGGACTATCTCAAGAGACAGCCCAGAACTGAAAGAACTACTGGCGGCTTCTATGGAGAAGTACAACTTGGAGACCAATGATGATTTCTACTACAAAGCTGGAGACATAGAAGCAGCAACAGTTCAGGTTGGGATTTGCTTTTCCTTTTAAAACTCCTTCTTTGTACCTGAGATGAGGCACAGACACAGCAGTGTTATTGATCTGAACTGTGTGTAGCTAAAGTTTGAATTTAGAATTGAAATAATGTTTTTTGCCTGTGGTCACAGAGAGATCCACGCACTTCTTGCAAAATTTTGCCCATCTGGGCTTGCATTTTTAAATGCAAGCCCCAATCTCTTGATTTTTTAAATGTGATTTTGAAGGCATGGGAAGAAGACTGATTTAGAGCATGTAATTTCTATATTTTTATGCCACCTTTTAATCAGTTCTTGTAATATTCCACAGACTTCTAAAATAGAAACTGCCCTGCAGAGGTTTAGAAATCACCACAGAACCATAAAAACAAAACAAAACAAAAACAATGAAGTAGCTTTGAAGATTCATTGTAGAAAACTATTAACAGACACGTAGGGTACTACTGGAGAAAGCACTAGAAGCGCACCAAGGTTTTTTCCAAGTAGCCTCGTACTCTTACTAATAATGCATGTGCTTTTTCTTTTCTACTGTTTTTCTTCTTGCCCACTTTTCCTATCATGATTGATATTAGCAAGGAAATATTTTAAATAGAATTATAAAGAGTCAGAATTTCATGCCTTGCTTGCTGTCGCTACAGCAAGATTCATATTAATTTGGGCGCTGTAAGAAATATTAAGTAAACTCATTCCAGACATATTCTTGAACCAGTGCAGCCCGTTTGTTTTATACATTTGCCAAACATGTCCATTTTCAACTGAGCCCATTTGCCACGCACTTCATTTTACTCGCGTCCAGCTTCTCTTGCATCATATTTGGCTCCCTGCAGTGATGTCTCTAATGATTTCATTTGTTATTAATGAAATTACTACAGACATCCAATAAAACAAAGCCAGAACTGTGGGTTTGGTGGTGTTCTGACCTTTCTGTCTTCTCCAATTTCAATGCTGAATTTTTTGAGAATGGGCCTAGAGTAAACAAGTTGATTAGAAGCAGATATCTTTGCTGTCAAGTATTTTAATATTGCTCTTAACATATGTGATCCAGTGGTTAGGAAATAAATTTGAAGAAATCCATCTTTTCTGTGATAAAAAATGTCTTTACCACAGAAAGCTTTCTTGCTAATTTTTCAGGTGGTTGCAGGGAAAAATTACCATATAGCATTTACAGTCAGGAAGACAAACTGCTCAAAGCAAGAGTTTGAAAAACTTAATGAAGACTGTGAAGCTGCACCTGACAGCGTAAGTTGTGCTGATGCTGCTATTTATAATGTCAAAAGAACTGTTCCAAAATGACAAATTTATTTGCACCAGAAATGGTAGCCACTTCGAGCAAATTCACGTTTGATTTTGAGTCGTGCCACCTCTTTCAGTAAACACCTCCCTCAACAAGGAGAGAGGCACCTTTCGGTATCTGCAACCCCAGCCACTGGCAGCAAAACACAAAGCCTGAACTGAGCCACCGCAACTGCAGTGTCTTAGTGCTCACTGCATGGCGAAGGGGACTTTATTCTGCTCATTAGGAACCACGGAAATGAGAGAAAGAGGCTGCAGAGAAACAAATGGCTGCAATCCTCCTGAGTCTGTGACACTTGCAGCTAAAGGAAAGTATCAGGCTAACCATTACTGGTGCTCAAAGGACGGGTGACTCGGGAATGCACGCTGCTCATACCGGGAAAATCCATTGCACTTGCTGGGAAGCAACACTGAAAGGACCTGAAAATATTTGCAAGGAAGTTGCTCAGAAAAAAAGAGTCTTTATTTCCCCTCTCGCTTCCTACCATACGAACAGGGTTTACCTCAGAGTTAAAACCTGCTAGCGCAGCAGATATTGGGTAGTTGAACAAATGTGTCTTTCTCCAAAATTCCCATTTTTTAACAAGAACTAATAACATTAATAGACAATGTTTGTTAGGAATATCATGAAGATTAAATAGTAAATGTTCCAAAAGTACTAGAAACAAAAAAATCCAATAATTACCATCAGAAATTGAAGTGTTCACACAGATATCATAAGATCTTGAAATATTAAACAGGGATGTGTCCCAGTACAAAGAAATCTCCATCACTAAGATGAATTTCATAGATAATCAGGTAAAGCTCCAAGCATATTTGTATTTAAAAATATGATTAAAAACATTTATCTTTTTTCATGTACTATGCTTTGCATTTATGCCTGATGTTTAACATGTTATTTTTTGTTTTGACAACAGGAACCATTGAGATGTGAAGCACAAATTTATGTAGTCCCCTGGGAGAATAAAATCTTACCCCAGATTAACTGCACTAAAGAATATTTACCGGTATGATTTCTTTCTATTAGCCACCACCATAAGCAGAGCATATAGTAATGAAAGACATTACATTCTTTATCCATCCCAAATTATCTCATACTTAGAACCAAAAACCAAGGAACACCCCTTTTTTTTTTTTTTTTTTTTTAACTACCTCAGTAATGCCGCATTCCTTCCTCCCTGTCTAACCTCAGCGCACGTCAGTTTTGACACAACATGAGACAGCAGAAAACACAATGATTGCAGAGGTGCAAAGAAGGGCAGCAGCACAGAGAACATCCTGCCTATTGATTGCTTCTTTGCATTATCATTTAAGCTCTAAGGTATTAAGCCCCATCAGTTCCCTTGAATCTGGTACTACAAGATTCCCGCGTTCTTTGTACTACATTTAAAAATTCGGACAAAAATCTATTTGGCAATGCAAAAATTATATCCCACAGATGCACAGGTTTCGAAAGCATCTGCCACACTTTTCATGTTAGTAGAGGAGCAGATTTCCTTCTGCTTAGAGTTGTGAGTCTCTGCAGGAGCAGATTTTAAAGTTTCCTCCCAGCTTAGCTCCACCTTAGCTAGTCCTGAAAAGGGGTCATTTCTGAAGTCTCAGGGTAGAATATAAAGACAAACTTCCTCTACTTCTGGTAATTATGGTTTCAGTGATTTAGCTGTGTGCAGCCCTTTCCTAACCACCCATTCATTAGGTACCAACTACCAAGGAGTTCCCCTCTCAGTTTCCATTACAATATTGTATCCACATCAGTTTTCAAATTTACCTCCCCCTAAACCTCCCTGACGTTCACAAGGATCAGATACTTTGGTAGACAAAAATGAAACTGTGTCAGATACAAACAGCGCATCATGGGTTCAGTCTTCATCTTTCAGCTGCACAATGATAAGGAAACTGAGATTACTCGATGACAAGTGAATGTTTTAGAATATACGTCTTAACCTTATTTCTAAGCAGCTTTATGAAACACTTATTTTAAAACTAGAAACAAAAAATTGAAGTTATATCTCATATGATGAAATAGTCCAAATCTTTCATATATTCCGTCAACCTCCAGCATTTTTTTTTAATAATCAGAATGTTACTCTCCACCGAGAGCAGGGACATTTTCACCCCAGAAGTCAACTGTACTCTTTATACAGGCTTACAGCTGTTTTCTTCCCTATGGTGTCATTCCACACTAAAACTGGCAAAAATTCAACAATAAATTGCTCTGCTTATATATAATCATTAAAATACTCCAGAGTTACTTCGATAGGTATTTATGTTTTGACACTTAATATAGACAGAACAGATTCAGTTTACTTCAAAAATCTTTTGCTAATCAACTTACATACTGCAGTGAGCCAAATTCTTAATTATTTTTGGTCGTGTAAAACAATATTACAATGTTTTTTAGGTTTTGCTTGCAAGAAGGCCTCCTGGATTCACGCCCTTCCGAATCGGATCTTTTATACAGTATCAGACAGGTGAAATAACATCCTCTGATAAAAATGAATCAGAAAGTCAAACACCCAGCCAGGAAACAAGAACGGAACATGAACAAGGACCAGAAGGTGAAGGTGAATCTGAGCGTAAACACAGGCACAAACGTGAGCATAAATATGAGCATGGATTTAAAAAAAATCGTGATTCCTACAAGAGGCACAGGCAGGACACGGACTGCGGGCACGGAACTGACGACGGATGTGAGCATCGAAAACACAGTAAACATGGTAAACACAAACCTGAATCTTCTGAGGAATCTGATGAAAGGGCTTTTAATCACAAGGAAACTCTGTCACCATCCAATGCTGACATTGTGTTAGATCTGGTTACTCCTGGGGCTGCAAGACAGGAAACTAGTATTCCTGCAGAAACAGTAACTCCTCCTGTTACTTTTTTATTTAATGGGTTGCCAGATAACTCGGAATCTCCTCTTCCTCGATGCCCTGGAAAACCATGGAAACCAATTATAGAGCTCCCAATTCTTCCTAGTTTACGCACAGAACTGGCAGATGAAGACCTCTTACCTTCAGAAGCACAAAATACCAGTCCAGCAACAGAAAATTCAAATCCTATCCAAAATGAAGACACAGACTTGGACCTTTCAGACGCTTTAGGTTAATCCAAACATTATACGATCCCATTCTGAGGCCACACACAGATAATCGAAAAAAAATTATTGTCCTTTAAAATCTATAAAAATCCTAAAGGAAAAAAGCTCCTATTATGCTAGCTAAAATATTCAAATAGGTCCCCAGCACTCCTGGAGGCCTAAGACCATGAGTGCATGTTTGCATACCTTTGCACATAGGGCAAAGCTGGAAAGCAGGCAGGGCACCATGGTGCAGAACCAGTCCATTCAAGAATGCAGGGAAAGTCAACAGTTTTCTGCTGTAGACATTACAGTTATAAGTAACTCATCTGCCTCAAGATGCTATAAGCCCATAGTGAATCACTGCATCGAATCTCACTATATTACATTTAAACCTCTGGCATAAAGAATTTTGTAAATTGCATGAAGAATCTCAACCAACTATTTCTGACGGGTAAGACAAAAGCAAGCCAATATAGAAGAAGGATGTCCCCAAAACAATACTTCTCTCACTTACTGGACTGAATATTTTTTAAGCAGAAAACAAAATACAGGAACCTGGTTTATCTCTCAATGTCCTTTATTAATATTCCCATCAGTCTATCACCAGCAGGTGGTCTTGCTGAAAGAGTTAATAGCTATTAACTCTGAAAGAGTTAATAGACAGCTGACAAACTTAAATAAAGCACATTCCCTATGGGTAGTATATTAACTGCACAGCAGTGACACTACTGAGTGACAGATTTTCACGTGTCAGAGGTGCATGAGTTTTGTAGATTGGATGACAGAACTGCAAACACTCAGGATACCAAAAGGCTATCTGACCTCTTCCATTAAAAGAGTTAGCTTAACTCTGGAAAACTACCAAAGGCCGAGCTCTTGGTGGGAAGCTTAGTTAAAAAGTACCAAATGTTTCTGGCAAATGTTTTGGCAAATACAATGTTTCACATATGGATCTGTTAAGACATTGTCTCATAAAATAGACAGAAAAATAAACAAATAAATAAATATTTTAACATCAGATCAGTTCACCAGTTTGAACCACTCAGTAATCTTCCAAGTTATTGAAAGGGTGAGGAGCTACAAATGGTTCACACTTAACTGGCTCTGCTGCAAAGGGCCACATAAAGTGAAACTAAGGTCTAAGTATCCTCCAACACAGCTGCAAAGTCAGACACCAAGACTATATAACCAACAGCTAGAAATGTGCCCTTCTGCTGTATACTACACCTCTACTGCCATCACCCCACCACTGAGGAAGAACTAGACAGATGAAGACTACTTACCAAATGCAGAGCAAAGAGATGAACTGGGCCAGGAGCTCTGTCCAGAGGGGTGAAGAACAGAACAGAACAGAATCTTAGTATCAAGAGTGGAAACAGAGTGAATTGGATGGACAAAAGACCTGGTAGGGGCAGCACAGCCAAGAAGCAAAAAGGGGTGGGAACTGAAGAAAGGTGACAGAAGCAAAAGCGAGCAACCAAAGACTGCAGGAGGGCTCTC